TTTCGAGGAGGGAAGGAATGATGCAGATACGGGTGCGCAACAACTTCAACCTTGGGTCAAGGACCCTTTGATCAACATTGGTGGTCCGATGACAAGATCAAGAACCAAGAACGTGAAGGAAGCTTTACGAGCCTTGATCATTCACCATACAAGCAAGGAGCAAGCTAGGTTTGAAGACTTGATGGACCATGAAGTTACTTTGTTCACTTGTACGTTTGAAGTGAAGGAATGATCTCATACTTGTTAGCTTAGTTGGTAGTTGTTTAAGGACTACCTAGTTTAGTAGTTGTTAGGCGTTGAGTATTTTATTACTTATTGGGCCTTATCGGAAAGCCTTAAAGAGCTGGCTCTTTAAGCTCTTTATGCGGACCGAATTTCTTCCAGGTTTATGTGGGCTGGATTTTGCCCTAGTTTTAGCCTATAAAAAGGCACCTCTTGTAAGAGTAAAAGACAGATTATTACAACCAGAAATCGTGAGGAATTTTCCTTCAAGTTCTTAATCGAACTTACTCTTGAATTCTTGAGTTCATGGCTTAGGATTCAAATCAGACTTTATCGATTAGCTTGTTCCCTAATCGTGGTGTCGCTTTATCCATCCTTATTTACTTAAGGTTGCTGATTACCTTTGTGTGTCAGAGGTCTTGAGTTCATGAGAACAATCGAGTTCAATTTCTGTTGGGAGAAAAGATCCAACTCTGATAATTACAAGGTTGGGAGGTTCTAGGAGGGTCTTCCCCTAGGGTTGCCTATATCAGTAATGATGCAGATACGGGTGCGCAACAACTTCAACCTTGGGTCAAGGACCCTTTGATCAACATTGGTGGTCCGATGACAAGATCAAGAACCAAGAACGTGAAGGAAGCTTTACGAGCCTTGATCATTCACCATACAAGCAAGGAGCAAGCTAGGTTTGAAGACTTGATGGACCATGAAGTTACTTTGTTCACTTGTACGTTTGAAGTGAAGGAATGATCTCATACTTGTTAGCTTAGTTGGTAGTTGTTTAAGGACTACCTAGTTTAGTAGTTGTTAGGCGTTGAGTATTTTATTACTTATTGGGCCTTATCGGAAAGCCTTAAAGAGCTGGCTCTTTAAGCTCTTTATGCGGACCGAATTTCTTCCAGGTTTATGTGGGCTGGATTTTGCCCTAGTTTTAGCCTATAAAAAGGCACCTCTTGTAAGAGTAAAAGACAGATTATTACAACCAGAAATCGTGAGGAATTTTCCTTCAAGTTCTTAATCGAACTTACTCTTGAATTCTTGAGTTCATGGCTTAGGATTCAAATCAGACTTTATCGATTAGCTTGTTCCCTAATCGTGGTGTCGCTTCATCCATCCTTATTTACTTAAGGTTGCTGATTACCTTTGTGTGTCAGAGGTCTTGAGTTCATGAGAACAATCGAGTTCAATTTCTGTTGGGAGAAAAGATCCAACTCTGATAATTACAAGGTTGGGAGGTTCTAGGAGGGTCTTCCCCTAGGGTTGCCTATATCAGTAATGATGCAGATACGGGTGCGCAACAACTTCAACCTTGGGTCAAGGACCCTTTGATCAACATTGGTGGTCCGATGACAAGATCAAGAACCAAGAACGTGAAGGAAGCTTTACGAGCCTTGATCATTCACCATACAAGCAAGGAGCAAGCTAGGTTTGAAGACTTGATGGACCATGAAGTTACTTTGTTCACTTGTACGTTTGAAGTGAAGGAATGATCTCATACTTGTTAGCTTAGTTGGTAGTTGTTTAAGGACTACCTAGTTTAGTAGTTGTTAGGCGTTGAGTATTTTATTACTTATTGGGCCTTATCGGAAAGCCTTAAAGAGCTGGCTCTTTAAGCTCTTTATGCGGACCGAATTTCTTCCAGGTTTATGTGGGCCGGATTTTGCCCTAGTTTTAGCCTATAAAAAGGCACCTCTTGTAAGAGTAAAAGACAGATTATTACAACCAGAAATCGTGAGGAATTTTCCTTCAAGTTCTTAATCGAACTTACTCTTGAATTCTTGAGTTCATGGCTTAGGATTCAAATCAGACTTTATCGATTAGCTTGTTCCCTAATCGTGGTGTCGCTTTATCCATCCTTATTTACTTAAGGTTGCTGATTACCTTTGTGTGTCAGAGGTCTTGAGTTCATGAGAACAATCGAGTTCAATTTCTGTTGGGAGAAAAGATCCAACTCTGATAATTACAAGGTTGGGAGGTTCTAGGAGGGTCTTCCCCTAGGGTTGCCTATATCAGTAATGATGCAGATACGGGTGCGCAACAACTTCAACCTTGGGTCAAGGACCCTTTGATCAACATTGGTGGTCCGATGACAAGATCAAGAACCAAGAACGTGAAGGAAGCTTTACGAGCCTTGATCATTCACCATACAAGCAAGGAGCAAGCTAGGTTTGAAGACTTGATGGACCATGAAGTTACTTTGTTCACTTGTACGTTTGAAGTGAAGGAATGATCTCATACTTGTTAGCTTAGTTGGTAGTTGTTTAAGGACTACCTAGTTTAGTAGTTGTTAGGCGTTGAGTATTTTATTACTTATTGGGCCTTATCGGAAAGCCTTAAAGAGCTGGCTCTTTAAGCTCTTTATGCGGACCGAATTTCTTCCAGGTTTATGTGGGCTGGATTTTGCCCTAGTTTTAGCCTATAAAAAGGCACCTCTTGTAAGAGTAAAAGACAGATTATTACAACCAGAAATCGTGAGGAATTTTCCTTCAAGTTCTTAATCGAACTTACTCTTGAATTCTTGAGTTCATGGCTTAGGATTCAAATCAGACTTTATCGATTAGCTTGTTCCCTAATCGTGGTGTCGCTTCATCCATCCTTATTTACTTAAGGTTGCTGATTACCTTTGTGTGTCAGAGGTCTTGAGTTCATGAGAACAATCGAGTTCAATTTCTGTTGGGAGAAAAGATCCAACTCTGATAATTACAAGGTTGGGAGGTTCTAGGAGGGTCTTCCCCTAGGGTTGCCTATATCATCGAATCTTGATAGAAATATTTTACAAAACTTTTATAAAAAAAGGGAAACTTGAAAACCGGTTTTTACGGTTTTGACCGGGTTTGATCGGACTTTTGACAAAGTCAACATCAACATAGAACCGGACCGGTGCCATGGCCGGTTCGCGGTTCAACCGATCGAACCGGCCGGTCCGGTCCGATTTTCAAAACACTGGATATATGAGATTCTCCTTCATGAATAACGGACTCAACCGATTCCTTCATAGGAACTTTATCTTCATGGCAGCCCTTTGAACCCTTCATCCGACTATATTGATCAATGTATGGTGCTAGATAGGTCTCCAATATATGCTCAAATGACTCCTCTATGGATGACTCATCCTCATGTTTAAGTCTAAAAGAAATGGATTGAAACTTCTCCTTCCTCCTTGGATAATGCGACCTCCCATGATTTAGATTGATCATTGGATAAGGTTGAGTACTACCTATTCTTTTGGCAGTGTTATTCACCATTCGATCAAGCTATTGGTGGAGTGGCTTGAAAGCATCGTCCAAAACCTACTTAAATTCTTCTTTCATTGACTCCATTATAAGATTAAAATCATTATGCTAGGAACTCCTTCACCTCCTGTAGACTTGTTTCAACTTGTAACAATGGTTAGTAGGACAAAAAATACCCTCACGCACTCTCTTACGTGTATCCATTCAACTCTTGTATATTACTCAAATGTATAACACTAATAATATCACCAATTAAGTTCTCAAGGCTCTTGATTGCTCTCCTTAAAGAAATTAGAATTTCTCAAGGTGAATCAACCAACTAACAAATCAAAAAACCAACAAGACTATGGCTCAATGAGAGATTCAAAAGATTTAGCAAGCTCAACTCAAAGAAACTGATTGTTTGACACAAGAAATTGACTCAAGAGTAGAGTGAACTTAGCTGAAAAATTTAAAGACTTCAACGACTTGAAATTTGAAGGAAATCCTAGGCAACTAGACTACCGAAGTTTAGGTAAGTGGCTGGAAATTTGAGTTCGAACCTTTTAGGAAAGCAACTATGAAACTAGACTGTTTTATGCAAATCCTTTCCAAGTTAGGAAATGAATTATGGTAGTGGCTATTTCCTTTTTCTTTTCTTTTTTTTTGACACAGGGCCATTCGGGCTTTCGGCCCGACTAATCCCCTGCGCCTGAGAGGAGAGGCCCATTCTGTGAGAACCCGAAAATTATATTTATATTGATATTCTGAAAAATTATATATATATTATATATATATTTGTATTCTAATCTAATTGCCTTGAATCTTTGGTTAATCTAACGGTTGAATCATGATTTTACTCCTATTGCCTCATTCAATTTATTGCATGTTGGTTTTCTTGGAGTGATATACCAATTCGTCGAACTAGCGAGGTAGGTGTGATAAATTTTGTGAACTAGAGGGAGATTTGTACAAAAGGGGTTATTGTGCTGCAAGGTGTTTTCGAAATGTATTTGTTTTGAAATTTTCTACTTTGAATGAATTATATTTCTTAGTAATTGGAAAATGATTTATATATGATTTTATACCTTCTTGTTTCCGTCCAATAATTTTGAAAACATTTGCAAGGGTTTAATTGAAATAGTCAAACTTATTTGGTTGTGCAAACTCTATTTGAGTGGAAATGAAGGGTTAATCTTGGCTAATTACTTTTAGAATTATTGGATTTTTGACTTTGATCAAGACTAGTTTTAGTCTTCACGTTGAAAGCAAAATGGACCAAGACATTTCATTCCTTTTCTTACCTCTTGGCCGACCATGGAGTGGAAATATCAGCCATAATCTTCTTCTCTTGGCCGAAAATTTTGACTAAGCAAGAGAGTAGAAAAAAAAAATTAAGGGAAAGCTGCAGGATTGTTTTTTTCCTTGTCCTACTCCAATTTCCCAACCGAGAGAGACATATTTCTCCATTGCCTCCATTTTTGACCAAGTAGCATGCTAGTTGACTAAGCCAAATTTACTTCCTCTTGTTTCTTTTCTTTAGCTCAACCAGCGAGAGAAAGAAAAACAAAGACAAACAAGGCTGGTCACTTATTTTGTCCTACTTTAGCCGAGAGAGAGAGTAGAGAGAGTTGAGAGGAAAGATTTGTGTCCTGCTCCAACCTTCCATCCGAGAGAAGCTTGAGAGAAAATAAAGAAATTTCTCTTGTTTTGCTTCCACTTCAGCCAAGAGCAACGAGAGAGAGAAAACTGAAAGGAAGCTTGTGTCTTACTTCCATTTCCAGCTTGCTTGGATCGAGTAGAAGGACCAAAACTAGGGAGTTAACTTCTAGCTTGTTTTAAAGGTAACATGATTTGGAACTTCAATTTCTTTCACATACTTTAGAGGGCTTTTGATGTATGTTAAATTTAAGCCAAAAGGTAGGAGTTTAGCAGAAGAAAAATATACTTTACTAAGTTATAGGTTGCTGGAATTTTAATTTAGTGACATATGCTGATAGTTTTTATTTGCAGCTTTGTATTTGAAACTCTGATGGGTTTTCTTACTAAGAACTCAGGTCATATGTTTCATCTTATGTTAAAAATGATATATGGTGTATTTGCCATGAAAATGAGTGAGAAATTAGTGGCTTGGATGAAAGAAAATTTGAAGGAACCTGGTTGGAAAAAAATCTGTGGGCTGACCGATTGCATAAAGTTGGATATATCAGTTTTACTTTAAAGTTGGAGTGAAGTTTTGCTAAGATTTCATGTTTTATATCATGACAACCATGTATATAGAAGTTAGTATGTTTATATAGTTGAATAATAGTTGTATGTTCATTGATTTGGCTGAAAATTTGTCTGAGAGCTTGAGAAAAATTGGAGGAACTTTGTTCCATCCTTGTCACAGCCTGCTATCTCATCCCTTTGAGAAGTTTCTACTAGGAAGTCATGCTCTAAATGTTATATTTCTTGTTTAGTATGCTATAGTATGTTGTCTTTGAATTGGGTAGCAAATTGCTAGCTTAAATGTGAGTTATTGGCAGCAATAAAGTTGGAATAACTCAAGTGAAAGGTTGAAATTTCGGGTGACAGTCACCCCTGGGCAGTTTTAGTAAACGGATCATAACTTAGTGTAGAAAAATCGAAATTGAGTACCGTCAATTGCGTTTGAAACTAGACTCATAGATCTTTCCAATGGTATAAAATTGGAGCTGTGGTTCATTTTATATATGCACCAGAAAATCAGCAAAGTTGACTGAAAAATCGGTCCTGAACAAGTAAAAATTGGGATGCTGTGGTAACTTGTGACTCAATTTGGATTAACTTATGAACCAAATCTCCTTGAGATGTCTGCTAAAGATTGTTAGTATTTCAAGTCTAGTTTTAAACGAGATAATTTGTATGAGTTTTCGACATTTATAACTTAAGTTATGATTTTTCCAAAGAAAGAATGCTTGCTGGAATTTCAGCTTTGATCGCTAAATTTTCAAGATGATTTTAAGCTCAATTTGTTCAAAACACCCTAGAAGACTTTAAACTACAAGTATGTGTTGGAACTGAACCAAAACCATGGACCTTAAGTGGTTTAAACTCCATTTATTTCACTATTTTCATGGCTGGAATTCTTCTTGAGGCTGACCGAAAGAGAGAGTGATTTTGTTTAGCTTTATTCTTGGTTTTGTGTGGTGAAATCAACTTGTTAATGTCCTAAACACATGATTAAACATTAACTTTGGTATGAGTAGTGAATTGGAATAGAAAATGAAAGGTTTTGAGAGATGAAAACTTCACTTTTACATGTTTCATGTCCCAAGCAATAAATTTCCCGTTTTAGTTAAGGAAAATGAAAATGAGTGTTAAAATACTAATATCATGTTTACTATATATTTTAGCCATGTCATGTAATTTTTCCAGCTTGCATATGTTCCATTAGTTTGCTTATGGAAATTTAAGCTTGTGGAGTTGAACTTTTGCTTGACGGCCAGCCTTGGTATGGAGACATGTGAGCTGAATACTTGTCTATTTTTGCTGGATTTACGGTCTGAAATTAGTAGCTTGTATACCCTATCATTTGTGCTCTTGATTTGGATGGTTTGGCCATGAAATTTTGTATTGAATTTGGAAAGGAAAAAATAGGACAAAACAGGGTTATACTGTCCAAAATTTGGGACAGCTTACTACCTTGATTTTGGGCTGAATTAAGAAAAATAATGAAGTCATAAATAGCTGGAAAATAGCTAAATACAAAGGGCATGCTGCCCAAATTTTCACTCGAGTGTTAGGCATATATACTCGTGATTTGAGCGACGATTTGAGGTCAAGTTGGACTCGGATCGCCTATGGTATTCGAGTTTTTTTTAGTCAAGATATATAAGCTAAAATTTTGCCGGAACTCGTACCCTTGAAAAGTGAAAATAATGACCCTTTCAAAATATGATTTTTCCGGTCTTTGATACCAAGTACAACTTCTAAAGTCGAAACCACTTCTTGATCATAACTAAACAAGCAAGCATGAATTTTTCGAAATTTGATAAGTATCTTGAATACTACTTAAACGAGTTGCATTTACTTGATTTTCTTGAAGCGAAACTCCTATGTTTCAAATTTTAGAGAGTTTTACATTCGTAAATGATATTTTATCGCAGATTTGAACTCCAACCAAGGAGTTGGATTTGAACGTGATTTTTGAGAGGCACTAGACCTTTGGTGAGTACTTCCAAATACTTGATTGAACTGGATACTTGTTTTCAATACTTGACCAATGTGATCGAATGATATGTGATTGATATGATCGGGTAAGGGTGTACTTTATCGCACTTACCCTAATGTGATATGTACTCGTTTATTGTTGCAATTGACTTGATATACTTGTGCGTGACTTGTAAGTACTGAGCGGCAGTATGTACCACACTCGATTCGAGTGGGAGGTACCTCTCATTCCCGTCTCCTTACTTTTATCTTGATTCAGTCGATTGGAGATGTTATCTCATCGAATTCTTGGGAACCCAAACCCCATTGGCTAGTTACTCAAGTCGAGCCGGCAAAGGCTTGGTCGATTAGATAACGAACCATGGGTATCTAGTGTTGTCGAGTGGAGTGTATCTTCTCGACTAATCGGTATGCTCGAGTATTACCACCAGTGTTTATCTTGGAGTTCTGGCCCGGTAAGGGGTTTGGATGGTGGACAGAGATTGTAGTTAAGTGGTGCTCTACTGGACTGGTTGCTTTACTTGAAAGTTGACGGAGTGTCAACTACTACTTGATCAAGTTTTGGTGAAGAAAAAGGGGAACTTGGCTCCTAAGAGCCATTCGTATCCTTATACTTTGAAATAATTATTGCTTATTGGGTAATTGTTTTTTTTTAAAAAAAACTTTGCACTCGCTTATTTTTGAGAATTGCTACTTGAAGTGTTATTGCTCACAATTATGAACTTGTTATGCTTGCTATTTTGCTACGTTGCTACTTGTACTTTTAAATAATGGTCAATTTGCTATTTGGAACCTCACTAGGTTTTTAGCTCATTCCACGCCATTTGTTTTCCTTACAGGGGGTACGAGCAAGGCGTGAGACTTGTGCAGGCTAGCGTAGTCTAATTTTTGGAAATTTTGTAATTGTATTCGCACTAGTTGCTCGATTAGGGTTGAATGTACTTAGAACTCCAAATCTTTTGATGTATTTGGGATTGTATGTAAGTTGAGTTGAGATAGAAATGAATGTATTTGTACATTTCAAACTTGAAAATGGTTGTTTCTTTTATGTTTAAGGTTGTGACTTATTTTATTCGAAATAAGTGAGCGAGTCTTGGCGAGAGCTGGGCAGGCGGTCCGCTAAACCCTGGGGTACGCCCTAAGGGAAGGTGGGGTCGTCACACATTCCTCTCGAACACGTTGACTCCGGGACTCGATCCTTGGTGGTCATATCCTAAAGGGAAGCAACACAGCACACGAGTTACCTGGGTTGGGCTATTTCCTTTTTCTTTTAGGAAGCTATTTTTTTATTTTAACATGCACAACCTTTACTTTCAAGATTCAATAAGAGTGAAGCTTCCTCATTTTTGTTTCTCTTCGATTCAAGATTAGCTAAGAAACATAAGATCAGCCCACACAACCCCAATAAAGTGCAAGTAAGAAACAAACAAGATAGAGATGGAAAACAACACCCGAACAGATTTCTCCTTTTTTTTTGGATCAAACAGCCACAAGAATTTAAGATTCCAAGAAACCCTGAATGCTTCAAGAACTTTAAGAATTTAACCAAGACAATTCAAGAACATCAAGAAGATGTCAAGAATCAATTTGGACAGCAAAGATCAACTACAAAACAGCCACAAAAACAAAGACAAACACAATGAATAGGTATTTTTTTTGGATGAGCAGTGACAACGAATAGTAGTAGTGAACAGTAATGATAAACACAAAACATAAGAGACACACGAGAACAAAAAGATAAAGCATGATTCAACAAAAAAACTCTAGAAGAACAAAGCGACGTAGATAAGGGAAATTGACTCAAACAACAAAACAAACGGATATAATTTGCTACCATAAACCAAAATTTTAATACCGGCTAATACATCCTACACCCTGTCTCAGATGCAACCTGTAACATTATAAACCACAAGATCTAGAATTGTTGGTATCAAATTTTGGGAGTGAAAATCTAGCTCGATCTTTGATAGCACAAGAATGAATTTAGGTTGGGTAGAACGACACCACAATCAAGTACGATTCTTGATTTGGATAAACACTTAGGACAGCTCTAAGGTATTCAAAGAAAGCTTGCAGGAAACCAATAGAATTTTCACACTTGATTTTGTTTGCTGGAAAAATTCGACTTCCTTGTTACAAGTAAAGGACCAGCTATTTATAGCCAAAACTAACCTATTTGGACTAATCAAAATTGGACAAGGAATCACTTTTCTATCCAATAACTACTATGCTAATGAACTTAAAATAAACAAACAAAACATATGGCTCGTTAAAGTTATGTAAGCTTAGCTGAATTTACTGAAGAAACAAACTATGAAATAGACTAAATAATGACCAAGGAATCAACCCAAATAAACGACTTAAACATGACATAAACGACTTGAGACAAAACAAGCAAGGCTTGATTCGCTTCTTGTGACACATGAACAGCTCATCCGACTAGAGTTTTATCATGGATCCATCAACACCAATGACTTGAATTAGGGTCTTGATTGGCTGGTTCTCAAGCTCGATTCCTCAGCTCGAGCCAGTGTATAAAGTTTATTCCATACAGGTCCAACACCTTCTATGTATTTCTATGTTCCAATTTGCTTTTGAATAAAACGGACCAAAACTTGAATTGAAGTGTTACACACATTTAAAGGTCCGCTTGAATGGTTTGGTTGAATACTTAGCTCGAGACCCTTGGGAATGCACAGATAGGTAACTGAATTCATATCAAAAAGTGCCACAATCAAGTGTGGTTCTTGATTGATAAACCAATTGAACACTTCAGTCTAACTCTAAAGTATTCAAAGTAAGCTTTCAAGGATGCCAAGAGAAACTCTCAATCTCATTATCGAAAATGTCTAACTTGGTACAAGCAAAGGAATGGCTATTTATAGCCAAAACTTGACTGCTTAGATTAATCTGAATTTGACTTGGATTTAGTCAATTATTCCAACTACTAACGGATTTAACAAACTAACTATTGGCCTATTAAGCTTAAAGCTTAAAACAAACTTGGCTGGTTTATTGAAAACTCATGAAAACTATCACAACTAACTAACGACTAACGAAAACCCATTGAAAATTGAAAGAAATACTCGCAAAGAACCCTAAAACAATACAACAAATTCTAACACCTGAGTTAATGCCAGACTTGCTTTGAAACACAATCCATGGCCAAATTTGCACGTAGCTCTGCCGCGGATCTTTCATTTTTCTTCTTTCTCATATTTGATCAACGTACAGAATTCATTCCCTGTGAGTCCAACTCCTTCTATATGCATTTGTATGGTCTGAATTGCTCTTGAATAGTGCATACTAAGGCTTGAAATGAATCTTTGAACTTTTTAGTACGAGCTCTTGTAATTCAACCCACCAAAACCTTCACTTGATCATCACTCAAACTACTTGATCCTTACATTGCATCACCATATTTGCAAACATTCCACAAGCAATCACTTGAAGAGCATTTTGTGACGCCCCCACTTCTCCCAAGAGCGAACCCAAGGGTATCCGCGGAACTCCTGCCCAACTCTCGCCGGGGCTCACTACAATCCATAATTCAAAAACTAGAAATACTTCAAATATTTTTAATAACATTTAAAGTACTCCAAAACATTTCATACTTACCATTAGTTAACTTTCAAGTTTAAATACAACCCAAAAGAATATGTACTACAGTCATTGCTATAATACAAGTTGAAGTCTCCAAAAGAAAACAACTTAGAACTATTCGTGAGCACTCTCAGTCCTGAACTCTGTTAAGGAAAACAAAAGCGTGGAATGAGCTAAATAGCCCAGTGAGGTTCCAAAACACACTAGCAGTTCTAATAAATCAAGTAAATTGAGTATAATGCACATACGGTTCAAGGTGTCACACTGGCACATTAAAATGAGACATTTATCATTTTACAGAAATAAACACACATTAAAAGAATACGGTGTTCACGTGGAACTGTTTCGGTCAACTGCACCTTATAACTCCAATATTTCCCTCGGTTTGTCTGGCCATCGATTTATCTCTCCAGTGGTATACTCGAGTATACCGATACGGTGGCCCAGTATTCCAACCTACCCGACCGAACCCAGTCTTGGCTCGAGCAGGTTAGTAACCAAGGGCAGGGTCCAGTTCAGCTAAGAGCTTACAACATGCGCAAGTAATCAAATATACCGGTAAACTGTAGAAATTCATGGTTAAATGGTTGAAATTTGTTATTTTAGTAGGTCGAGTGAGATAAAGTACACACTCGTCTTAAAACGGTGAAAAATTTCATAGGAGCAATTATAAGGAACACTTAACACTTAAACACACAAGAAATATGCGGTAAACATGTAGCAAAACTATTCAAGTCACAAACACCTCTAAGAAACACTCACCAAATCAAAAGTGTAAAGCAAGAGCGAGGCAAGATCAAACGGGTTCCTCGGGATCCTCTTGATCACCTGAGACATATACAATTACAAATCACCTAGGCAATCAACCAAGGTCTAGTAGTATTTTCGCTACTCTCATTTAAGAGATAACGCGTTTCAAATCGAATACAAATATCACTTAATAACTTAATCCATGAGGGTAGCATTTGAAAATATCTAAGAATACATTAATCCGAGTCAAGTCATGTCCAAAATTCTCCAAGTTGAAGATTAAACAGATCTCTAAGTTTTGGCACGCAGACCAAGAAAGATGGAGGATTAGTTTCTTGTCAAAATTTCCTAGTTGAACGCCCAAGCTTCAAGTATAAGTGAGCTTTCTCATTTTTCAAACTCATTTAGTTAAAGTCTAGTACAATCGCCACGAACGGCTCACTAACTTCTTTAGCCACCAATTCAAGTTGTACCCATAAATCGAGTAAAATTCTCAAGTTCTCTTTTAATAAAAGCCTCACTCAACGTCCATTTTCAACGATTAAATCGAGGGCGTATACTCAAGAGACTATGGCAATAGAAGCTTTGGTTTTCAAATAAGGAAGATAAACACATTTTTACTTGGAAGCTTGGCCAAAACATTCCGAGTATTACTAATTACGTTCACAAGAAACCTTTCAAATCATTCTTTTAGAATACTTGTATGATTGCCAACTCTAGTACAATTATCAAGGCCATAAGAATAGGGGTTGAAGTCCCTAAGTTGAGTACGAAGAGAAGTACCATTAACCAAGGGAGTTATATGACCAAGTAAATGCATCAAGAGACGTTTAACCTTCGGAAACCAAGATTGGAAATAAAAGTTCAAAGTTCCAAAGAGACCTTGTATTAAACCATGAAAACAAACTTAAAACAGTCCAAAAATCACAAAGGAAGGTGGAAAGTTCTTAAAGGAATAATTTGGTTGAAAATAGAAATTTTTCCAGTTTAGAGTGACACTATTTTGAAAAATCGTATCTCGAGTCCCGTAAGTCCAAAAATGGAAAACTTTGTACCATTGGAAACTAGATCCAAAGTACTAAAAGTTCCTAGAAGATATTTTTCCAAAATTCTAAACGGAAAGCATCCACTTTTCAGCTCAAAGTTGCTGATTTAAACAAGACAGGATCGATCAGTCTTGGTTTTCGGTAATATTTAGAAACTCGGCATAATTCACAAAAAGCGAATCATACTCTGAAATTCGTAACACAATATAAGTTCCAATTAAGGTTTCAAACACAATAAGCAAAACTAAATTCAGAGTTTTGAATATCGAGATACATCAGACCAAAATTGGTCGACTTTCATGACCTGTCCAGTCATTTTCCAGATTTGAGAAGGCATTTTTGAGGTACCATTTGGCCATCGAAATGGCATTGAAAATACACCAAATTTGGTAAATTTAATCTTCCATATGTGAACTACATCTCTACCAAATTTCATATGAAAACTCACGTGGGAAGGCAGTTAACAAAATATTCAAAGTTCGTGAAATTCCCAAAGCAAATCTGCCATCTCACCCTTTTCTTTCTTTCTAAACATTTTGCACAATGAAATCAGTTCCAATTCGGTTCATTTTTGGAACCAAGGTCCTTTAAACATTCAAAAAGTAATTGATGATTGATTGACATCAAAATTTTCGAAATAAAACATCCCACAACAAACTAGACCAGTCAGCCAGCAAGAAGGA